CACAAACATTTTAGATTAATATCAAGGTACAAAAACAAGGTGAAATATGATACATTAGAAAGTAGGAGAGAAACGTTTATGGCAGTTTTTCATAAACGTTGAAAACACTCATACAATTGCATAAAAAATAATTTCATCAAATATATAAGGAAATAAATTCAGGAAACTTTCGTCGAACACTCTAGTTTTCTGAACTAAAGTTGTAAAAAAAAATCCCATCACCTACTGTACTGTTAGCTGCAGTGACTGAAATGTTAAAAGGAGTGGTTTAATGAATAAAAAAGTTGCAGTTGTTAAAACAGTAACAGAAGAGGGGCGTGTTTATTAAAGGCGCCCATATGATTATTACTCATTTCTGGAAAGGTGTTAAAATTGAAGATTACTATTATTCAATGAACTGTTTCACGTAATCATGCTTTATTATGCGCATGTTGCTCTTTCCAGAATAATAGCTCCTCACAGATGTTACTTATTTCATATTAGCAGAATTTCCATGCAGATTAACAAACCCCTAAGTTCCAGATATAGAATCAGATATAAAAATCAACTTTTATATGTTTTAAAATCATAAATGAGATAAAAAAAACACAAAAGAAAAGAGAGTTAACATATTTGAAGACTTTTCTTTTAAACAAAAACTAGTCATAAAAAATTGAGCCGCTAATTGTATATTAAAAGTAAAGTACTATGTAGTCACTAGGAAACGAATTTTCAGTGCTGTTTGAAGCTATTGAGTTTTGAATTATTGTATTTTTAGAGGAAAATATTACTTTTCGTTCCTTTAGCATTAATTTCAATTTCGATTATTTTAGTTGCTCCAAGCATCAATATCAACAGTTCTGGAGATCTAATCAACCCCATAGTGAGAAACGGACACGACGTATTCTTCGACTGTGAAATTCAAGCTAATCCTTGGGTAACTGATTTCCATTGGCTGTTCAATGATGACGAATTGATTACTAACAAATCAGCCGGAGTCATTATAAGCAATTACACGCTGGTTCTTCAAAAAGTCGACCGATCAAAGAGAGGCCGTTACGTTTGTAAGGCCACGAACAGCGAAGGAAGTGGAGAAAGTGATCCTGTTTATCTTCGCGTTGAATGTAAATGGAAAGTTTGTTTTCCACATTACCTGCGTGCAGTGTGTCTTCATTACGAAATATTATAACATCTAACTATGTTGTTTGCTCATAAGTATCAGTTTCGATTTAGTTTACCCAATGATTGTTTTTTACAAGAATACGAATGAACTTTCCTGAAGAGAACAGTAACAGTTAGGGTTGTTGGCTTTGTACTAAATAGCTTAGTTTATCTTTAAGCGCAAAGCTATACTGTTTTGTGCTCACCGCTGAGATCTAGTCTCGAATGTTAGCGTTATAAACCTTGAAGCTTAATGCTTACCAACCGTAGAAACACTGAACGGACTTGTTTGCAGTTCATAATTTAGAAAATAATAAAAATAAACCACCCCTATCTTTAGAATGTACAATTTCATATTCTTCTTTTGGTTTATATGGTATTTTCCGTAGTATAAACACATATTCCCCCTTTTGGTTTATAAGGTATTTTCCGTAGTATAAACACATATTCCCCCTTTTGGTTTATAAGGTATTTTCCGTAGTATAAACACATATTCCCCCTTTTGGTTTATAAGGTATTTTCCGTAGTATAAACACATATTACCCCTTTTGGTTTATGAGGTGTTTTCCGTAGTATAAACACATATTCCCCCTTTTGGTTTATGAGGTGTTTTCCGTAGTATAAACACATATTCCCCCTTTTGGTTTATAAGGTATTTTCCGTAGTATAAACACATATTCCCCCTTTTGGTTTATGAGGTGTTTTCCGTAGTATAAACACATATTCCCCCTTTTGGTTTATGAGGTGTTTTCTGTAGTATAGACAGACATTCCGAACTCACAAGACGAACCATTGAGCAATATAATTTCATATTTTAGACAACATAACCTATTTCAAATGTGTGCATATAAGCTAAACTTGAAAACAAACCTTGATTAGAAATATTCATTAAACTTCATACTTAGAAATCTAGTTAACGTTACCTATCATCATTTTTAGAAAACTTCACTCTAATTACTCGTTTCATATTTTCGTTGACTGGCGAATGAAGACACTTTAAAGACATAAAGTACTGATTTTGTTCAGAAGAGCAAAATGATAAAAATGTGTATAATCAGAGACTGAAGTTACTACATATCTTGCTATATAAATTACGGGCCCGGCCTGGCCAGGTGGTTATGGAGCTTGACTCGCAATCTGAGGGTAGCGGGTTCGAATCCCTGTTCCACCAAACATGATCGTCCTTTCAGCCGTGGGGGCGTTATAATGTAATGGTCAATCCCACTATTCGTTGGTAAAAGAGTAGCCCAAGAGTTGACGGTGGATGGTGCTGACTAGCTGCCTTCCCTCTAGTCTTTCACTACTCAATTAGGGACGGCTAGCGCAGATAGCCGTCGTGTAGCTTTGTGCGAAATTCAAAACAAACCAAACCGCATAAATTACGTTCATACTTAACTTTTGAATTGTAGCCAATTGTTATGCCCAAATATGAAACTTGATTTTTCGTTTTACAATTCCTCAGACCATTCGCTGAACCACTGCGGGGGGGGGGGAGAATGGGGCTCACATGTAGGAAAAATATCAAAGAAGTAAAAATCATAGATGAAGAAAAAATAGCCTTGTAAATATATCATTGTGTCATCTACATCAAAAATTATAGGTGAGAAAAGTTCTGTATTAGAATAGTTTTTAACATATAAAGTTAGATACTGTTATTTCGGTATATTTATCTATTGAATAAACGCGTTGTTCATGCTAAATATATACACACTTGTTGCAGCAGTCATATTTTCTTTGCATAATAAAAAAGGTGCTCAAAAGACGTGAATTCTTAGCTTTAGCAATTACCAGCTTTAAAACAAGATATTCTAAAAACTCCATGAGAAACGTTACATAATTAAACATCAGTCAGGTAAACAAATTGGCAATGATGTGGGTTCCAGTTCCTGTATACGGATTTGCTTTTGTTTTCTGGGTGTGGTATTTCTGAATATAATATCTGTGTATTTGGTTGGTACAAGAGTTAGCATGTGAAATAAGCCGAGGACCAAGCCGAAAGAAACACGATTGTTTACTGGTAATAATTTTCTTTATTTTGATACAAACTCGAAACTAAGAAAAATGAACTAAAATGTAATATAAAATGAACAAGTAAATAAATAAAAAAAAGACACATTGGACTAAAGAAGATAATCGCAAGGCAAAGTTTTAATCATTCTCTGTCTAAAGAAATAAATTGAAAGTTACATAAATTAATGAATTTTGAACAGTTTTAGTACCAAACTATGGTATGGTAAAATTCATGGCCTCGATGTCAGAAATGGGATATTACATTTTCGAATAAAGTAATACAAAAATGCCACAACTGATATTTGAAATATTCTAAACAGTAAAGTCTACAAAGCAGGTAACATTTTTTTGTTTTCTGTGTTCAATGGGATAGAACTTCGTTTTTGTAAATAATTACGTGTCCAAACTCTGAACGCGTTATGGTAAGTAAATTTCAGCTGGAACATTTTGTTTTATCTAAAATAGTTTTAAAACTTCGACTTATTTAAAAAACATATCTACTATTACAGTAACTTTATATTCTATTTGCATCCATCTTAATTGTTTTTCGCAAATTCATGAAACTTTTATAAAAAATGAACGTCTGGATGATGTCTCCTTAATTGTTATTGAAGTTATACCATTATTATTATATATGTTTCTTTGTTGAATTTAGCGCAAAGCTACTTGAGGGTTTTCCGCGATAACCATAACTGATTTTGAAGTGATAGATTAGGGGGAAGTCAGCTAGTCAACACCATCCACTGCCAACTATTGGGCTATTCTTGTAAGACTAAATAGTGGGATTTGACTGCCACTTTTGTAACGCATCTCAAGTACTAAATTCCAGAGCGCTATTTCTTTATCGCAATAAAAGGACACTAACCACATAACCTCAGATGCACAGTACGGCACTCTAACTACTGGGCCACGCTCAGTCCTCCAGGATCTGAAATATTCTTTTATTTTGTGGAG